TATAGCTCAGTGGTAGAGTGCCTCTGGGTTCAATCATTAATACTGGGGAAAAATATTTTTAGAAAGAAATCATGGTAACGGTGGTTGATATATTTGTAAGATAAAATTTTCTTCATCTTATGATGGTCCTTTAAATATTTTTTGGGGGGGAAATTTTACTGAGTGTCTAATAATCTAACACCTGTATTGACACCGTCGTCAATATCTGCAAGGCAGTGGTGTCCTTCATGTAAAATAAGTATGTCGTCGTCTACCCACCCCCCTTCCCCGCCCCTCCCTGCGCCTTTTTTTTTTTTGGTAATAGGGATTGAATTCAGAACCTCACACATGCTACCATGCTACCACTGAGGTAAATTCCTATCCTTTTTTATTTTTAGACAGGGTCTCACCAAGTTGCCCAGATTAACCTCAAACTTGTGACTTTTGTGCCTCAGACTCCTGAGTAGCTGGGACTATAGGAGTGCACCACTGTACTTTACATACAAATGTGACTTTTTCATATGTATTCGCATTTGCAGACAATTTTCCAGTGAGGTTTTTTTTTTTTTTTTTTTTTCTGGCGGTGTGTGTGTGTGTATGTGTGATAGGCTTCTTATTGATTTCTGCCTGAGTTCAGCCTTGCAGTTTATTTGCTGTACCTCCATCCTTTTATCTTCCCAGTAGTTCTGGTTTCTGTTTTTACACCTTTTGGTGTTTTAAATTTCTGTGCAGGCCTTGGTATAATTAGGTGAAGTTCTTTTGTTCTTCCTTTATGCTTTCCTAGGTAAGCTGTTTCTTCAGAAGGTTTAATATTATATTGAAAACTTGTTTATATTTTTAGACTTGCTGGTCTTTGTTTTATATTCCTCTTGAAGCATTTTCTGAACTTCATGTATTTTTAATGATTTCAGACATTTTCCCAGTCAATTTTAGGATTGAGTGTGTGTTTGTTTTTGTGACACTGGAGATTGAACCCGGGAGTGTTCTGCTTCTGAGGTATATACTTCTGAGGTATATACTCAGCCCTTTTTAAATTTTGAGACCGGTCTTGCTAAATTGCTGAGGGTCATACTAATTTGTCAAGACTGGTCTTGAACTTGTAATACTTGTGCTTCTTCCTCCTACATCACTGGGATTATAGGTGTGTACCACATGCCTGGCTCCTATTGATCTTAGTAAAACAAATTCACTGTTTTATCAAAGTGTCCTTTCATTTTCAAGATATTTACTGTTTTTTCCACTATTGATGAGTATATACAGATGTAAGACTCCATTACAACTTGTTGCTTCTGTTACCAGATGGTAAATTATAGATTCTAGCTTACACTAAGAATCTGTTTTCTAGGTAATAGTCAAAAGGCAATAGTCATATTAAGTGATTAGACATTTTCACAGAAATCTCTCTTCAAGTATCTGACCTGTCAATGATATTCCCCTAAGAAGAAATAATTTGGGCTAAGAATCACTGGGTAGTAGTTTTTTTTTTTTTTTTTTATTTATAGCTATACCCCTTTGGAAAATGTTAGCCAAAGCAGGGCTACTTATGGTATTTGCTTGTATAACTTGACCCCATTTTTCCAGACCCCATGTTATTGGACATTAAATCAAAACTTGACATTTGAACATGCCTGAAATACTGGATTTTTTTTTATTCAGCAAGTATGTGTCTGCTCTGTTCCAGGCATTGTGCTAAAGTATTGGACTAGGTGGAGCTAACAGTCTAGTGGGGAAGACATATGCATAGCTTTATTTATTTTTGGTACTGGGGATTGAGCCCCAGGGCACTTTAAATCTTTTTTTTTTTTTTTTGGTACCAGGGATTGAACTCAGGGGCACTAGTCCACTGAGCTCCATCCCCAGCCCTGTTTTGTATTTTATTAGAGACAGGGTCTCACTGAGTTGCTTAGCACCTTGCCATTGCTGATGGCTGGTTTTGAACTGCTGATCCTCCTGCCTCAGCCTTCCGAGCTGCTGGGATTACAGGTGTGCACCATTGCACCTGGCTGCCCTTTTTATTTTATGAGGCAGGAAAAAAAAAATCAAGATTTTTATGTTGGGCTGAACCAACAGGGTGAGCTATAACTGTAATGAGAGAATTTCAATAGCAAGTTGAAATAGCATCAACTTTGTAGCCAGCTTGGCATTTTAAAATCTTGGGTTATATATAAAGATGCCTTTTAAAGGAAGAAAGTTGTTTTATATCTAAACAATATAACCAAGAACTTAGTTTGAGAAACACTGCATTAAAAGTAGAATGTAACCACTAAAGCTGTTACTTGAAAAAGTGAACAAAATTTAAAAAGAAAAACAACAACAACAAAAAAGTGGTTACTTGATAACAGCATGATTGTAAATTGAAACTGGATCACTGAATTGAAACTGCAAGGCTGAACTCAGGGGTATGGCAGTATTATTTTTAGATTATCATATAAAAACATTTACAAGTTCTCAGCAGTCCTTTTTTTTTTTTTTCCTCTTCTCTGTACTGGAGGTGGAACCCAGTGGTACTCTATCTTTGAGCTACATCTCAGTCCTTTTTATTTTTGAGACAGGGTCTTCCTAAGTTGCTCAGGTTGTTCTTGAACTTGGGTTCCTCCTTGCCTCAGTTTGCCAAGTAGCTGGAATTACAGGATGGACCACAACACCTGGCTTTAGCGTTTTTTATAATAAATCTCCTGACCATTATAGGTTAGATCCACTGCATTTTGAAAAACTATTATGAGGTGGGCTGGGGATGTGGCTCTCGGGTGGAGGCCCTGGGTTCTATCCCCAGTAGGAGGTGTGGGAGGAAGGGAGGGAAGCAAGCAGGCATGTGGTCACTCATGCCTGTAATCTCATCTGCTTTGGAAGCTGAGGCAGGAGGATCACAAGTTCTCAGGCCTGTCTAGGGGCAACTCTTAGAAGGGGCTGGGGATGTAGCTCAGTTGTAGAGTACATGCCTAGCATGCAACAGGCCTGGGTTAAATCCCTCTTATTGCCAAAAACAAAACAAACATGTTAACATGGGTAGCTTACCTCTCTCACTTTTTTTTTTTTTGGTATTGGGGTGGAACTTGGGGTTTTATCACTGAGCTACATCTCTAGCCCCCCACCCCCTTTAATTTTGAGACAGAATCTCACTAGTTGCTGAGGATCTCGCTGAGATGCTGAGGCTTGCCTCTACCTTGTGATCTTCCTGCCTCAGCCTCATAATAGCTGGCATACAGGCATGTACCACAGCATCCCAACTTTACCACTTACACTTTTAATGCAGTGTTTCTTAAAGGAGATATAGTGCTGAATCTTGAACGTTGTTTTCTTAAATATCTGGTGTTTTGTAATGTTTGCCTGGAATAGGGAAAGAGTACCAAAAAAAATTTCAACTCCCCTTCTTCCATCTAATTTGTCCTCACAGATTTTTTCCCAATTAGAGATGTCATTTTGGTATGCATGGCTGTTAATCAGTCATTCATACCTTAAGAACAAATGTATGAATGCTACATCAACATAAATTTTGTCTCATAAAATGAAAACTTTGTATGAAAAAACTGTAGACCCATGAGAAGGCATTCTTGGATGAGGTGGGAGATTCTGATAAGGCAGTTGTAGGAAAGAGGTTCTTGGAGTCAGGGAAGAGGAGGATGGCATTGAAGTGTTGCTTTTCAATTTTCCTAGGGTCTTGAATGCTTTTGCTGCCAGTGCCTCAATCAGGGGTTTTAGAACAATTCCCGAAGTCTGAACTTTAGTTCTGTAGTCTGGACTATTCCAGCACAATTACCGTACATGTTGTCATCTATTATCTCCTCAGGAAGTGCAGAATGAAGAGAAAGGTGGTCCTTCCCTTAGGAAAGTAGGTCAGATCAGTCCAGTTGGCTCAGTGTCCTCCTCTTGACTCTTGCCTTTCAATCTCTTCATAGTCCTTCATAGTGTTTTGTATTGTCATAAAGCACATGTGGGTTCTCAGTATTTACTAATTCTTCTGAGAGTGAAAGCAGTTTTTAGGACATTGACCTTGATTTTGTCTGCCCTGGCCACACCCACCCCCTTTTTTCTGTCATTGTAAACGCTTCCCTTTTACAGGCATGTTAGTAGTACAGAAGATAAAAATGGTAGGTAATGGATAGAGGAGAAAGAAATCTAGTTTTTGATATTTAATTAGGAGAAATACAGACCATTAACTTCAGCCTGACACATAATAATATTTTCTTTGCACCCCATAGCGTAAATGCCTTGAAGAAACAAAAACTGGATACACAGGATATAGGCACTAAAACCCAGATAATACTTTTGCACGTATTTCTCGCTTCCTTGTATTACTGCTTTATCACATCTTTCCTCTTTATATCAGACAGTTTAGTGGTAACTCCTCTTCCTTTCCAACTCCTGAGTTAGGCTTTCGGTCTTCTCCCTATTTTCCTAGTGTTCTTAGGTTGTGGATTTTGCAGACTCAACCACCCTTCTCTCAAGGTCTGTCCTTCAAGGTTTCCCCGAAGCTGTGGCGCTTTTCAAGCCCCCAGCACTTTGGAGAGGAAGTCCTTGGATTCTTGTGATGGGCCTGTGAAGCCAGGGGGTCTGCGGAGCCCCGTGTGGGTGTGGCTGGGCGAGGCAGGGGCGGGGCCTGCAGGGAGCCGGAGGGAAAGGGTGGAAGGCACAGCTTAGAAAGGCCCGGCGGGCAGAGGTTTCAGAGTTTTCACGAAGGCTTCGAGTACGAAGCTGGGGATTTGGTGCCTCCCTCCCTGCCTTGCCTTTCTCGATTCTAGAAGCTTCAGTTGGCTTTTCTGGGTTGCTGGTACGAGGAAAGGCAGCGGCTTCGGCTCCGGGGGCGGGTCCCAAGGGTCTCGTCGCTGCTCCGGGGCCGTTTGGCCTTCTGGCGTTGGGGGAGGGGCATGGGAGTTGCTGCTCTCGCCTCTCTCTGCGCCTGCGCGGCGGGCTCTGCGCGGGTAGGAGCGCGTGCGCGGTGACGTGGACGTCCGGTGCGCGCGCAGGCTCTTCAGCTGGAGCGGACACACGGTGTGCGAACCGAAGAGAATAACCCGCCCCCAGCGGGATATGAAGGACTCCGGGTGAAGCCGGCCACGCCCCGCACGGTAACTGTCGGGCCTGGGTGGAGGGCGTCGCTTTAGTGTTGGCCCGATTGGAGTTTTTCGAGACTTTGAAGCTCTTGTGTGTTTGAACGGCTTGAGCAGCATTTTACTGAGAGATCTTCGCACGCCCCGGCCAGACCAGGCCTTGCGCGGGGCCGCCCTTGGCGCGCGCCTATGGTCCCTTAAGCGAGGCTGCGCATGTCACCTCGCCCTCGTCCCCGGCCTCACTTCCGCGTTGCCCTTCTTACTAACTGGGAACATCGACGCCAAAGAAGCGGCCACGAGGCGGGCGGGGTGAGAAGCGTCCATGGCGCGGCCCTGCCCTCGCGTGCGTGGGGTGCAGCACCGCATGGTGTGATCCGCGTGAGCATTTCCAATCCGGCACTGGGCTCTAGGTCGAGAGCTGTGCTTGTTCTGCACTTTGCATTTTAGAGCTCAGTTCGCCGGGTTCCAGATCTCCGGAAACAGTGCCGACGTCGCTTTTTCTAAAGAGCTGGGTGCAGCGTTTGACACCTGTACAGACATCTTTTTTAGCTCGTAATTCCTGGTTGTATTGAGGCAAGACTGCGAGTTTAATAAGGGGGGCGAGGAAGAGTTGTATAGCAGTGGGAACTTTGTAAACAAAGGACCTGTGATTCTTGCGTGCAAAAATGAAGGCGGGGAAAACAGGTGGAAGAGCAGGTGTTATTTTCTTTTTCCCTTTATGGAATAGCCTTCGACTAGTTTTCCGTTTGTGGGGCTTCTCGTTTCTGTTAAATTGTGAAGTAGGTTTCTGCCCTCAGTGAAAGGTATGTCTGGTGTGTTAATAAGCTCTGATCACCAGTAACTGGAGTTGAGGAATCTGTGTGCGAAGACTTAAAGAGAAGTTAGGGATTATTTTAGTGTAACTGGGATGATAGAGAAGTTGTAGTGTCTGCTGCGAATAATTTTGTCTTGCCTCTCAATCTTTGGGAATGCCTCCTTCCTCTGCTAAGGTTGGAAGCTGGGAGCGGTGAAGGATGCCTGAAAGGAGGGGTTACTGATGGCCGAACAGCGGGAGAAACCAAAGTACTGTACTTCTGAGGGAAAACCACTCTCCCAAGGCTCACGTCGCCCGAGCAGACACGTGGATCTTGCGAAGTCTCTAGCCCACCTGAGAGCTGTCCGTGCGTGCTGCAGAGCTCTCCAGGCTTATGTAGCGGAGTCTCTTGTAACTCTGCCTGCGCTGCTTGCTCCTTTTTGTGCACGACGCTGCTGCTGGGTTTCAGCAAAGGTGCCTGGGGGCGGCGTGACGGCTGCTGGGAATGGGGCTGGCTGGGTGGTTGGTTACGTAGTCTCCACGGTAACAGAATGTGGCTGGGTCCCGCGGTGCGATCACTGGGTTCTGGCCAGCAGCACGTGATCTGTCCGGACTCCTCGTCCCCGGAAGAGCTTTTCTTGCGGCAATTTTTCACGTGGTTCTTTACTAGCTGGCCTCTGCAGTTGAAAAGCTGCGGTTGGGGGCCCTTGATAGTCGACGGTGTCTGTTCCTGACCCTTTCATTTCCAAGGGTATTGGATCGTTCTAGCGTTTATTTCAGTCTTAGGATTATGTTTACAACTGTTGTGTGGGTACAGTAGTAGATTGGGTCCATTTAACAAAAACAAGCTAAAGACCTGGGGAAGTGTAATGCCCTGGGTATTTTGACATACTTTCGCCAAATTTGACTACTGTCCATTTCTTCCATAAAAGTGTTTTTCAGATTCTAGTTAGCAACTGTCAGGAGACCTGAGCCTTGCTACTGCGAATTGAAGTTTGGGCTTCCTTGCTAGAAATAGAAAATGCCTCTGAAGCCAACAATAATAGGGGAAGATAAGCGGATAGGACTACTTTGGGCCAGTACATACCTTTGCCCAGAAACCTGAAAGTGTTTCAGATAATTTTGAAATTTACCCTGTAAGGTTGGAACAGTAAAGTACTAGGCCATTGTCTGGTTCAAAGTGAGTGCTAATTTGAAAGTGCTATTTATTTAATAAAATTAATGAGGGTTAAGAACAATGAAGAAAGTAGTTGGCTATTACTGTCTTTACTATTGTTTACTGTTATATTTTGTGATCATATTCCCACATTTCTTTTGAATTGAAAATTTTGGGGCCCAACTATATAAGGCAAAATACTGAAATTCAAGTGAATTAATTTTGTTAAAATTTTTGAGTTTTAAAAACATGATTTAACTTATTTCCTCATAGTGCTTACTCTACAGTACAGCATTTATCTTGTGAAGGTTGTGGTTCTGTTTAGCAATTCAGGAAACTTTGAGAATGTGTTGACCATGATTTGAATATATTAGCTGGGCAGTCTGTAATCCCAGTAGCTAGGGAGGCTGAGACAAGGATTGTGAGTTCAAAGCCAGCCATCAGCAATGGCGAGGTGCTAAGCAACTGTCTCCAAATAAAATACAAAATAGGGCTGGGGATGGGGCTCAGTGGCTGAGTGCCCCTGAGTACACTCCCTGATATCAAGAGAAAAAAAAAAATAATGAATTAGATGGATAAAGGGGGGGCCCCCCCCCCCCCCCCCCCCCCCGTACTAGGTGCTATGTCACTGAGCTACATCCCCAGTTGTGATGTGGAATTTTTGTGTATTTAAAAAAAAATTCGGCACATGGAAAAAAAAATTTGTGTGTGTGTGCTATTGGGAATTGAACCCAGGAGAGTTCTATCACTAAGCTACCTATCCCCCACCCCCCCCCCAAAAAAAAAACCCCCCCCAAAAAAAAACCCCGGCCCTCATTAAGTTGCTCAGGCTGGCCTGGTATTTGCCATCCTCTTCCCTCAATTTCCCAGGTAGTTGAGATACAGGAGTAAACTGGGATTACAGGAGTCCGCCACCATGATGCCCAGTTTGTAAATCATTGAAGTAGCATATATTGTGGGTTGTATGAGGGTCATTAGTAGTTAATGATTTCTCAGAGGTCACTGGTGAAAAGACATTTAGAGTAGGGACTCTGAATATAACAATTTATGAAACTTGCCACATTACTTTAAAACAATTATGCTTTGAAAGATTGTGTGTATATATTCTGATGTGGCTTTTCAGGACATTAGAATATTTTTCATTTCACAACTAAATTTACCTTTTTGGCCCCTCTCCCACCTCAAGTATAGGGTATTGAACCTAGGAGTGCTCTACCACTGAGCTACTTTCCCAGCTCTTTTTATTTTTTAGTTTGAGATAGTTTTGCTAAATTGCCCAGGCTGGCCTCAAACTCTCCATCCTCCTGTCCTCAGCTTTCTGAGTAGCTGGGATTACAGGAGAATGCTACCACAATCCAATCCTCTTTATTTTGCTGTTTATAGTGGTTATATCTAGATAAATGCTTGATGTTGAAAAGTTGCACTGAAGTTTTCTTTTTGCTCCCCCCCCCCCCCTTTTTTTTTTTGTATTGGGGATTGAAGCTTGGACCTCATGCATTATAGGCAAATGCTTTACTGAACTGAAGAATATTTTGAACATAAAGGGATGTATATATATCAAATCTGGTCTTTATTAAAGGTTTTAGAGAGCTAAATACAGTAGTTTTAGAATCTTGCTGTAAAGAGATTTCTTCCTGAGTAGCCCAGCACTTCCAAAGTGGTTTGATTTTTTTTGCAATAGAGTTTTCTTTATGTGTTTGAAACAACTCAGTACCCTGAATTCGATTACCCTTTGGTTAAAAAAGTCCAGTGCAGTAGCCCCAAATATAGGCACATGCCCATGGTGAATGAAATATGTGCTAAATTGATGTGGAATAAGAATTCAATTCCATGTTTTTAAATGGAGCCATTATAGCTTAAAGTAGAGAGAGGTTTTGGTCCTAAATCGGGTCTTCGATTTTATACTTTTTTTTTGCATTATACTGGGAATTGAACCCATGGCTTCCTGCATTTTAGGAAAATGCTCTACCACTGAACTATATCCCCAGCCCCTGATTTTATGCATTTTGAGTAACTGATGGTATAACTTGATTGATTTAGCTTTTTTTTTAAAGATCTTATACAAATTGCAGGTCTGAAAGTTCTAACTCCTCCTGTCTCCCTGGCATATTTTTACCTTTTTAAAAATTATTATTTTTTAATTTGCTGCCTATGTACCAAGTTAGAGTAGAGCAGTCTGACTTTTTGTCCTTAATTTTGTTGTTGAGGCAACAGGAAAAACTAGATACATGTATTATATAGTATAAAATTTATTTCAAGTACAGTGTGTAATTTTCTGTCATTTGGCTCTTTGACATTTTGTAGATTAATGTTTAATAGATAGTGATTTTAAAGTGTTGCTTAAAACATCTCTGTCCTGGCTTTACCTATAATTATCTAAAAACAAAGATTTAATATTATAGAAGATAATGTTTAAGAAATTCTAAATCTGTTCATCTATTTTATAGATTTGGGATAACTAAAAAATTGATCTTTGCCTTCTTAGTCATATTTAAATGCACTTAAGAATGTTTTTCGGTCTGGGGATGTGGCTCAAGCGGTAGCACGCTCGCCTGGCGTGCGTGTGGCCCGGGTTCGATCCTTAGCACCACATACAAAGATGTTGTGTCTGCCGAGAACTGAAAAATAAATATTAAAAAAAATTCTCTCTCTCTCTCTCTTTAAAAAAAAAAAAAAGAATGTTTTTCCATATTTCTGACAAAATAGTACTTTGTACCAAAACCTTGTGCTTTATGGATAAATAAATACAAGGTTAGAAGTTTGCATTGTGTAAATTATACACCATTGTAAGAGTGTATAATTGAAACATTACATGCTCATTTACTCTGTGTAACTTTTGGTGAGTTTTCTTAGATTTATTATTTTACAAGGTCGTCTTATTTGTGACTTCTATATCTGTTTAATTTTTGTTTTGCTGACCTCTGATAGGTATTGCCTTAGCATATTAATTTTAGGAAACCTGTCAAGTTCATAGGTAAAAGCCTGAGGTGTCTTTTTTTTTTTTTTTTGTTACTGGAGATTGAACCTAGGGATGCTTAACCATTGAGCTACATCCCCAGCCCTTTTTATTTTTATTTTTATTTTGAGACAGAGTCTTACCAAGTTGTTTAGGGCCTTGCTAATTTGCGGAGGTTGGCTTTGAACTTGTGATCCTCCTGCCTCAGCCTCTGAAGTTGCTGGAATTAACAGATGTGTGCCATCATTCCCGGCTCTGATGTCTTTTTTTAGAAGAATCACACTAAATTTTACCTACATCTTAAGAATAAACTCCAGGGCCTGAGGGTATAGCTTTAGTGGTAGATTGCTTCCCTAGCATGCACAAAGTTCAATTCCATTTCCAGCACCAAGAAACAACCCCCTCCCCTTCTTAGATACTAATGCTTTTAGTATGGAAATAGGTTTATTTTTATTTTAATCATGACAGAGGACACAGTATCCAACGTTTTGAAGTCTTCAATTTTAAAATGTTCTGTTATCCTTAGGTTAATTAATATTTTAAGTATTGGAGGCTCCATTTCCCACCCCTGTCGGCCAATCCCGTAAAAAGATTGAAAATTCAGATCAGACACTTTTACTGTTTGTCAGTAGTGCCGATGAAAGGTAAAATTAGACTTAAATGAAGAAGACCAATTATGACTAGTTTTTTTTTAAATTAAAATTTCTAGCCCACTCATATATATGAGTATTGTTTTCTCTTTGTACAAACTAATTAGAGGTGGTAGCTTTGATTTAGGATACCAGTTCAATTATATTTAACAATCTGAGATTTCTTTTAACTTTTTTTCCCCTCCCTGAGGAATGAACTAAGAATGAACTGAGGAATGAACCCAGGGTTAATAAGCCACTGAGCCATATCCTCACCCCTTTTTGCATTTGTATTTTGAGATAGCCTTTCACTAAGCCTTGCTGAGTTGCTGAGGTTGGTCTTGCATTTGCAGTACTCCTGCCTTAACCTCCTGAGTTTCTAGGATTACAGGTGTGAGCCACCACATCTGGCTTTTTAACTTTTTGAGATATAAGTCGCTTAGCATAAAAGTCATCATTTAAAAGTATGCACCAAAAAGAAATCCTATACCAATTAGCATTTAGTACTAGTTATCCCTCCCCTATACCAGCAACCAACCGCTAAGCTACTTTGTCTTTATATGGATTTACCTATCGTGGATTTTTCATATAAATGGAATTATAGAATATACATGACCTGTTTTCTTTATAACAATCTTGAAGAATTAACTGGCAATTTTAACTTTAATTTTTGAATAGGTTGTATCTTCAAAATGCAAAGAATTTAGAAAGTATCAAAGGGTATATATTTACCAAGCCACCCAGTTTTCCAGTTGCTTTTCTGTCTTCCCAGAGAAAATCTATCTCAAGCAAATATATATATTCTTTTTCTTTGGCTTGGAAAAGAATTTTAAAGAAGTCTAGAATGATTAGCTAGTATGGTGGCACATGCCTGAAATCCCAGCTACTTGGGAGGCTGAGGCTGGAGGATCAGAAATTTAAGGGTGGCCTCAGCAATTTAGGAGAACCCTCAGCAACGTAGTGAGACACTGTATGAAAAAAAGGACTGGGGATATAACAGTGATAGAGCATTCCTGGGTTCATTCCTCAGTATTGCTCCCACCATTTGTCTAGCATAATCTACAACTCTTTTGAACACTTTATTCTTACTAAATTTTGTGGATAAAGTTTATACATTCTTTTATGGTGCATAGAATTCTACTCTGTTGTTTAATCAATTTCTATTAATGGGTGACCCTCATCTTGGTCTTTTACTGTTATAAATGGAAATGCAAGGGACAGTCTTGTATATATCATTTATCACAAATACGTATATTTAGGATAAAGTTATGGTAGAACTACTGTGTCATAGAATGTATGCATTGTCCTTTTAAGCATGGTTTTAATTTGTATTTCTCTTATTTTGAAATTATTTTTTTAATAGTTCCTTGCTTTTCTTATTCTTGGCCCCTTTTCTTAATTATTTGTCGTATCTAAAGTAACTGGTTTTCTATAATGGGAATGAGTTATTTATGATGTAAGTTGCAAATACTTTTTGCTAGTTACTCAGTTGCTTTTTGATTTTGCTCATATTTTTTGGGGGGGGAAGGTCAGGTTTAAAAATTTGCGTAATGTTGAATTTGTCAAAAAGTATTTTTGTCTTATTGGCTGGTTTTTTGTTTTGTGTCTTAATAAAAAGACTTTGTCAGGAATTCTTTTTTTTTTTTTTTTAAGAGAGGTAGGGAAAGAGAGAGAGAGAGGGAGAGAGAGAGAGAATATTTTTTTAATATTTATTTTTTAGTTTTCAGCGGACACAACATCTTTGTTTGTATGTGGTGCTGAGGATCGAACCCGGGTCGCACGCATGCCAGGCGGGCGCGCTACCGCTTGAGCCACATCCCCAGCCCAAGGAATTCTTTAAGAATTAAAAAATTTCTGGGCGTAGTGGTGTGCACCTGTAATCCTAGCAGCTCAGGAGGCCAAAGCAGGAGGATTGCAAGTTCAAAGCCAGACTGAGCAACTTAGTGAAAACCTGTCGAAAAATATATAAAAAGGGGTTGGGATGTGGCTCAGCAGTTAAGAGTCCCTGGGTTCCATCCCTGGCGCGTACAAACACACACGTGCGCACACACAAATAAAAAAAAATAAAAAAAGTAGGGATATAGCTCAGTGGTAAAGTGCCCAGTGGGCGGGGGTGAGGGGTGTTAAAAAATTAAATATTAGACCTATCCTATATTTTTCCAGTAGAACCAGTAATTTGTCATAGCATCTTTAAATGCAAATGTTAATAAATTAACAGCTCTTTACTTATGTGTGAATTCATGTCAGTGCCCTTGGGGATTGAACCCAGAGCTTCAAGCTTGTTAGGCTAGCACTCTACCGCTGAGTTGTATATACCGCGGCATGTAGATTTGCTTTTTTTTTAAACTCGTTCCCAAAGAACTTGCTATATAAAGCTATATTTTGGCAAATTAATTTATGAAGTGTTGGGATCATTTTAAAATCTATCTCCTTAAATTTGTATGCTTTTTGTAGTTTTCCTAAAATGAATATACTTTTGTGTTTTTGTGCGCGATCAGGATTTATGGTGAATTTTTATAGGGCTGGAATATTGTTAATTTTACTAGATTGAAGTGAACTAAAAAAATGATTAGAACGATTAGATATTCTGGAATGAATATCCTTGTAGTGATGACAAGAAGGGTATAAGCAGTATCTTAGAGGAATTTAGGAATATTTTGAGGATGACATAATCATTGTATTCGTACAATAAACATTAACTTAATTAAAGGTTTGTTTGTTTTTTTTGCTTGTTTTTAGGATGGAAAGGCCATTGTGATTGTGTGATAGCTACAGTTATCATACTACTGAGTTTCCCACTGGAATCATGGAGGAGAAACAGCAGATTATATTGGCTAATCAAGATGGTGGGACAGTGGCAGGAACAGCACCTACCTTCTTTGTCATCCTAAAACAGCCAGGAAATGGCAAAACTGACCAAGGAATTTTGGTTACTAATCGAGATGCCTGTGCTTTGGCTAGTAAGGTGTCATCACCAGGAAAATCTAAAGGGAAGATTTGCCTTCCAGCTGATTGTACTGTGGGAAGAATCACTGTCACACTCGATAACAATAGTATGTGGAATGAGTTCCATAATCGAAGCACAGAGATGATTCTGACCAAGCAGGGAAGACGCATGTTTCCTTATTGTCGTTATTGGATAACAGGTTTAGATTCAAATTTAAAGTATATTCTTGTCATGGATATATCTCCTGTGGATAACCATCGTTACAAGTGGAATGGCCGTTGGTGGGAACCCAGTGGGAAGGCTGAGCCACACGTTTTGGGGAGGGTTTTTATTCATCCAGAATCTCCTTCTACAGGTCATTATTGGATGCATCAACCAGTTTCTTTCTATAAACTCAAACTCACCAACAATACACTGGATCAAGAAGGACATATTATCTTACACTCTATGCATCGCTACCTGCCAAGACTTCATTTGGTACCCGCAGAAAAGGCTACAGAAGTGATACAATTAAATGGTCCTGGTGTCCACACTTTTACTTTCCCCCAGACTGAATTCTTTGCAGTAACAGCTTATCAGAACATTCAGATTACCCAATTGAAAATAGATTACAATCCATTTGCGAAAGGCTTTCGGGATGATGGTCTGAATAGTAAGCCCCAGAGAGATGGAAAACAAAAGAACAACTCTGACCAAGAGGGGAATAGTGTTCCCAGTTCTCCTGGTCATCGGGTTCGTCTCGCAGAAGGTGAGGGGTCAGAGATACAGCCAGTTGATTTTGATCCATCAATAAAGTGTGTGGAGAAGCCACCCCTTAATATAAAACAAGACTTTTTTGGTTTCATGGATACTGATTCAGCACTTGAAGTTCCTCAATTGAAGCAAGAGATTTCTGAAAGGTAGGTAGTAGGTTTTTTAAAATTTATTATTATTTTTTTAATTTTTAGAAATAAAAGGTTGGTTGAGAAGGGCCAGATTTTGATTTGACACATTGATTTTGTAGAATACTTTAAACATTGATAAATGTGAGTCACTGTAAAATAGACTACAATTGTTTTACATTCTGTAATACGATTATTCATTTTTCTCAGTTGGATTCAAGATCTAGAATTGAAGGCAAATTGGATAATTTATTGGAGTAGAGTTTTTTGTTTATATTTAGAATGTTCTCTTATTAACATATATAGACAACTAATAATAATTGAAGAGAAAAAGCCCAAGTCATAATTGAAAGGAAATTTATCCAAGTGAGGCACAAAATGTGTTCAGAGTAAACTTGTTTATGTCTATTGTTTATGATTTACTGCCCTATGGATTTCCTAATCTATAAATTTCCCAATTGAAAAACCAAGTTAAAGATTATTATATATTAAGGTAGCATGATGTACCGTTTCTTTTTAAAAATTTTTATGCTGTGTAACTGTGAACCTTGTACTCTTTGATCAATACCTCTCACCCCTGGTAACCATTCTTTGATGGCTACTTTGCAGTGTTTGTCTCTCTGTATCTTCCTTATTTCACTTACAGTGTCTTATAAGCTCATCTATGTTGTCACAACTGATAGGATTTCCTTTTTTTTTTTTTAAATAAAGCTCAGTAATATCCCATTGTAAACATATGCAATCTGGGCACTGTAGCATATAGCAGTTTGGAGGCTGAGTCAGGAGGATTGGAAGTTTGAGGCCAACCTGAGTAGTTTAGTGAGACCATGTCTCAAAAAAGAAAGGGCTGATGGTAGAGCTCAATGGTAGAGAACATGCCTACCATGTGTGAGGCTCTGGGTTTGATCCTCTAGCACCTCAAAAAAAAAAAAAAAAAAAAAAAAAAAAAAAAAAAAAACCCTTGGCATACAGCTTAGTGGTAGGGTGCCCCTTGAGTTTAATCACCAGTATGGAGGGACAGAAAGTATATCTGTATGGTCTGTATGTGTTTGTATTTCTGGTTTAGAGTGTTGTGGTTTTTGCATACTTATACAGACTTAACTGTGAGCATCCTGAATCTGAAAAGCTTCAATGTCTGAAATACTTCAATGTCTGAAAGCCAGAACTTTGAGGGTCTGTTAATGCTCGAAAGTTTTGGATTTCAGATTTTGGAGTTTTGGATTAGGGATGCTCAAGCTGTATCACTTGTTCTTTATTCTTTCATCATACACTTCAATTGTTTCCCTATCTTGACTGCTTTGCTATTGTGAAAAACAATGATGTTTCTTGATATTTGAATTGTTTTTTTTTTTTTTGAAGATTGAACCCATGGTCTCACACATACTCATTTACCACTGAGTTATATCTTTAGCCCTTTAAAAGATTTTTTATTTTGATAGGTTTTTGCTAAATTCCCTGGCTGGGTTTGAACTTGTGATCCCACTGCTTCCACCTTCTGAATAGCTGGAATTACAGATATGAGCTATCTTTTGAGTATTAGAATCCAAATTCAGCAGAAGTAAATCTGAGCCCACTTTTTTCCTTTGCCTTCCCTTTCTTACTTATTTGTATCCTATTAATAGCTACTGTTCTTTGATTGTAGAATTCCCAGGCTCATGAGATTCTCCATCCTTATCTGTAGGTAGGTTGGTTTTTTGCTTTTTCAACATATACTTTCCACCATGTTTTTCTTTGTAGTTAGAATTAGCAGATACCAGCTTTAATACTTGATTCTCCACTCAGTTTAATTATTTTGATTATCCAGAGCAATTTAAACAATTGATCATCAATTATAGTAATGATGTTGTTGATGATGATTTTTTTTAGTTGCATATGGACTCAATGCCTTTATTTGTTTTTATGTGGTGCTAGGATCGAACCCAGTGCCTCACACTTGCGAGGTGAGTGCTCTACTACTGAGCTACAACTCCACCTATTATTATTTTTATTTTTTGGTGGTGCTGGAGTTTTCCTCATGCTAGGCAACTACTCTACTACATCTCTGGCTCACAGTTAAAATATTTTTACCCTCATTATCCAAAAGTTTAATATGCTCTTGGATGGTGGAAAATTAATCATTAAAATTCCTTTGGGGGCCTGATGTGGTGGCACATACCTGTAATCCCAGCAGCTCAAGAAGCAGGAGTTCAAAGTCAGCATCAGCAGCTTAGCGAGTCCCTATGCAATTTAGCGAGAACCTGTTTCAAAATGAAATACAAAAAAGGGCTGGGGATGCTAAGTAGTTGAGTGCTCTTGGGTTCAATATTCAGTACCAAAAACAACCAACCAACCAAATGACAACAATCCCCCCCAAAATAAAAAAAAAAAAAACAAACTTTTGGGGGACTAAAGAATTCTAGTAGCTCAGTGGTGGAGCATTTGCCTAGCAAGGCCCTGTCTTCAGTTCTCAGTAATGGGTACCTTTGGAGGCCAGTAAAGGAGTTCTGATAAGGTGAAAGGGTCAGGTGTATTTCTTTGTTATAAATAGCAGCTGATGGATGGGATTATGTATGGTTGAACTTTTGATCTAATGGATTGAGAGAATAGTTCAGAGTAATGACTGAGCCTCTTCATAATTGAAGGGGAAAAAAATAACTTGCATCATGCTCCAAGAAATAACATCTTCATATGTGAAAATGACATTTAGCTGGATGTAAAGTTTGTCTCCAAATGGCCTGATTTATGATCAGAAATTATTTTAAGGCAAGAGTTGGCTATATTAACCTATAGCCTATTTTTTCTGTGTATATAAGAATATGTGACAGAGACTGTGATGCTTGCAAGACCTAAAATACATACTCTTTACCCTTTTACAGGAAAAGAAAGTATTAACTTTTTATTTAAGGCTTTTAAAAAAACGTATGCATATATATTAGTTCTACTTCCACAGTTTCTCATTTTCTATTTAGTTGGTTGAAATATGACTGCTGTATCATCTTCTTTGTTTTAGCTAATAATGTCACTTTTTTTTTTGTATGTGTGTGTGTGTGTATGTGTGTGTGTCCCAAAGTGGCCATCAATCAGATTCCCCTCCTCTTAAGGTACCAGGGATTGAACCTAGGGGCGCTTAACCACCAAGCCACATCCCAAGCCCTCCAGTCAGATTTTGTAAACACACTCATCTTTAGCCAAGCTTTGCTTGCTAAGTGTGCTATTTAGCCATTTCTTCCCACTCTTAATTTTTCTTCCTTGGTCTTTATCATATTATTCAACTGATTCTTCTAACTCTTGATCCTTTCAGTCATTTTCACTGATGTCTCATAATATATTCAGCCATTTAATAAATGATGATTATTTATTTCCTGGTATTGTGCTCTTGTAGTATTATTATGATTTTGAGCTCTGCTTTCATGTAAGTTTATTATTATTAATTACTTTTTTGGGGGAACAGGATATTGCTATGTTTCCCAGACTGGTTTTGAATTCCTAGGCCCAAGTGATCCTCTCACTCCTGCCTCCTAAGTAGTTGGGACTATAGAATTTCCCACCATGCTCCTCATAGTTTTTTTTTTTTTTAAAGTCTAATAATGTCTTTAGCTTAGTTTTCATTTTTCTTAGTGTTGCCCTATAGCTCAAACTGATTTCTGAAAATTTTAGTCTTAAAACCTGCTCTTTTGTGCTATTGTGGTCATTCAGTTTGTAGATGTATACTTTTTTTTGCCTCCTTTCAAAAATCCACATAAAGTCATTCTTCTGTTGATGGACATTTTGATTATTATTAGTTTTTTACCGTTATGAATAAACTAACATGAATGTTTTTGTGCTCAACTTTTTGTAGACATATGTACTAATAATTTCTGTTTGTTATTTATCTAGGAGTAGGATTGCTGGGACATGAAGTAGACTATATTTTAGTACATACCCCAGAATTTTCCAAAATAATTATACCAATTTTCATTTCCTCAAATAATATATGAGCGTTCCTGTTACTGCCTCATCTTTTTTTTAAAAAATAATTTATTTATTTTTTTAAAGGGGGGGGGGGTGGGGATGTGGCTCAAGGGTAGCGCGCTTGCCTGGCATGCGTGCGGCCCGGGTTCAATCCTCAGCACCACATACAAACAAAGATGTTGTGTCCGCCGAAAACTAAAAAAATAAATAAATATTAAAATTAAAAAAAGAAATAAAGGGGGGGGGAGAGAGAGAATTTTTAATATTTATTTTTTAGTTTTTGGCGGACACAACATCTTTTGTATGTGGTGCTGAGGATCGAACCTGGGCCGCACGCATGCCAGGCAAGCACGCTACCGCTTGAGCCACATCCCCAGCCCCTCATCTTTGTTTGTTACATGTAGTAATATCTTTCTTATTTTTATCTATTCTAGTCTAGCTCAGCTTCCTGAGTTTTTGTAATTACAGGCTTGTACCTCTGTGCCCAGTGGAAAATATATTTATAAACTATTAAGATTTCTACTCGTGGCCTGGTGCCGTGGCACACGCCTGTAATCCCAGCGGCTCAGAAGACTGAGACTAGAGGATCAAGAGTTCAGAGCCAGCCTCAGCAACCAGGAGGAACTAAGCAACTCAGTGAGACTCTGTCTCTAAATAAAATACAAAGTAGGACTGTGGGGGTGCTGGGGTTCTGGCTCAGTGGTAGAACACATGTGAGGTAATGATTCAATCCTCAGCATCAAATAAAAATAAATGAATAAAATAAAGAAAATAAAGATATCATGTCTATCTACAACTAAAAAAATATTAAAAAAATAGGACTGGGGATGTGGCTCAGTTCAATCCTCGGTATGGGTGTCGGGAGAGGTTGGGGTTTTGCTCTCTTTTATTTAGTCATTCACCAAATAGGACTGAACACCTGGTTTTAGAAACCAAATAAAACACATTGCTCTAGGATCTTATATTCTACATAATTCCAGTCTCAGAATTCACAGATTATTCAGTTTTTCCATGTATGGCCTATGCAGATGTTTTCTCATTAGGTTAATTGCATTCTGCCATGTAGGGGCTCAGATATACGTATTTTT